TCTTGCAGGAAGGCCTGTGTTTGAATCCTGCCTAAGATATCATCTGTGTGACCCAGGGCAAGTACCTTAATTTCTCTGAACCTTCCTTAATTTCCTTGTTAGGGGTTTGGATTTGAGGACCTGTAAGATTCCTTGCCTTCCAGATCTAAATCGATTGATCCACAGATTCAGGTTTGGAAAGGAAGTTAGAGATCCTTAAGTCCATTTCCCCCTCATTTTATAAAAGAGGAAATTGAGGCCTGGAGATGCTAAGAGATTTGTCCAAATTCATAGAGCTATTAAGTGTCAGAACCAGGATTTTAACCTAGGTCTTTTACATTTGAAGCCAATATTCTTTCTACTATAGTATGGGTTCTGCCTAGTTCAACTGCTTCATTTTGCAGGTGAAGAAACAGACCCAGAGAAGCAATGACGCATATGTACCTTATGACGGAGTCAGGATTCAAACTGAGGTTACCTGATTCCCAGGCCAATGCTCCTCATGCCTCCCACAAAATAGTTGTCTCATGTAAACCCATAATGCCAGGATTTTAGTGAGTAGGAGGGAATGTAGGATGTCAGACAAAAGGCATTTTTAGTGACTAATTTGGATTGGGCACCATACCTGAGCTAGTTGACCAATACTTTGGGATTGGTCTATCCAAATGGCCTTCACCAGTCCTTTTTTTTTTTTTTTAGGCGATTGGGGTTAAGTGACTTGCCCAGGGTCACGAAGCTAGTGAGTGTCAAGTGTTTGGTCTGAGTCTGGATTTGAACTCAGGTCTTCCTGACTTCAGGGCCAGTGCTCTATCCACTATGCCACCTCGCTGTCCCTCACCAGTCCTTTTGATCTTTGTCTTGCCACTGAACACTAATGACTCTGGAAGAGAGAGTAAGGCTGAGGACTTTGCACAACTCTGCCTCAATTAAATTCAATTCACTTGCAAGTCAAGATATCACCCTCCTAATGTCATTGGTCCTCTTTGAGAAGGATGAACAACATTACCTAGCTTTTAATTATTGAATGAAGATTGCCTCAGCAAACTGATACCTGGGAAAGACCTTTGCTTAAAAAGACCAAGGTCTCCCACTGTATCTGTGGCTATCACCAGTCATCTTGACTATATCTTGCCACTGGCCTTCAATGACTCTGGAAGAGAGAATGAGGCTGATGACTTTGCATAGACCTGCCTCACTTAAATTTAATTCACTTGCAAGTCAAGACATCCCCCTTCTGATGTCATTGGTCCTCTTTGAGAATGAAGGATGAACAACAGCACCCAAATGACCGTGGCTGCTGATGTCTGTCCTTTGTATCTCTCTCACAAATCAGTAGGATGATGTGGAGGGCTTATGCTGATAATCATTTAAATCACAGAGAAAGATCACATGTAAAATAACTTTGCCCAGCCTAGGAACCTCACATCCTCCTCCCACAAACTCCCATTGTCTTAAGCCTTTTAGTCTGGTCAAAACATCATTGAATTAAATGTTACCTACAGGGACTAGACCAAAAATCTATTTTTTTTCTTTTAAGTTCTTTCCACTAAGGATTTCATCCATTTTAAAAAGTGAAACTTTAGGGTCCCTTAGTTTTGTGGCAGGCAAAGGCAAAACTATCCTACTTTCTTATGGGAAGCATGGTACGGAGGACACGCTTGGACTCTCCAGTGCACTGTGCAAGAGCTACATTTCATTGAGCAGATATGGTGACTAGCTTCCTCTTTTGCAGAACAACAGCTGCACTGAGTCACTAAAATGTTCAAGGAAAGCTGAGAAATATTTTGTTTGTTCCAAGAGCTAACAAGATCAAAAGCCAATAAGCAGATTCGTTTCCAAAGCTTGCATTCTTGCAAAGTTTTGGCTCACTATTCCTGACAATATGTGAGTCTGTGCCCGGTTTTCATGGAAACAGAAACTCACTCAGCTTGTACATGTGTATGTGCTTCTGATAGAATCTTAAGAGGTTTCAGGCAATTTAAAAAAAAAAATCCATGTACCCACCTAAATGTCACCATTGTTGCTTAGGTTTGTCAAATTCCATGATGAGATATGTGGTGACAGTGAGCATCAGTAGCCTGGAGAAATATAGTAGCAGTGTTAGAGGCTGCATTTTCCACTTTTATTCCCTGCCTAATTTGCCTTTAGCCTAGGTTCTTTCCACTTTGTGGTCTATGAGTCTAGTCAAATTTACATGGCTGATTTAAGTGGGAGGGCTGAAATGACAGAGACACAAGACTGCCTTTGGGCTAAAAATTGAAGAATCCCAGATTTAGAAGAGACCACAGTGATTATTTAATCCAACTCCTACCTGAAACACAACCTTTTTCATATCTCGGACCCTTTTGGAAATCTGGTGAAGCCCACAGATCTCTTTGTAGAATACTATTTAGAAATGCATATAGTAAAATACATAGGATTACAAAGGAAATTATACTGAATGTGGTTATCTATTAGAAAAATTCACAGATGCCATGCTAAGAACCCTTGCTCTATAGCATCCCTGTCAAATGAATGTTCAGCCTTTGTTTGCAGAATTCAAGTGATGATAAACTCACTATCTCCCAAAGCATCCCATTCCATTTTTAGTCAGCTTTAATTGTTAGGGAATTTTTCTTATATTGGCTTTAATATTGTTCAGTCTTTGCAATTTCCACCAACTCCTCTTTGGTTCTTCCCTTTGAAGCCAAGCAGGACAGGTCTAAGTCTTTTTTTTTAATGCAAGCCCTTCAAGTCTTTGAATAATATTATTACTGTCCACCTCTCCCCTAGCCCCAAGTCTTCTCAAATCTAAGTAGAGCTAGTTCTTTCCACCAATTCTTCTATGACCTAGTCTCCAGTCATTTCAACATCCTATTCATGCTTCCTTTATTTTAATGCTCTTTAGTTTAACAGCCTTCTTCTTAAAATGTAGTGCCAAGAATTAAATACTATTTCAGATGTTGTTTGGCCAGGTCCAAGCATGGTGGAACAATTTCTCCTACCTCATTTACTCTGCTATGAATGTCCCTTCCCTTTGTCCTTTCCTCTAAGATTTCAGTAACTAAGAAAGTATCAGGCCAATCTCAAAATTCTACCCACGAAAGGTCCAGTGGCACATAGTCATAAGTAGCATTGTAAGAGGCAGTGTGGGGTGATAGATAAGGAGCTAGCTTCAGTGCCAGAGAAACCTGGGTTTAAGTATCCTACACACTGGCTATGTGACCCTGGGCAAATCATCCAACCTCAGAGCCGTAGACAGTTCTCTAAGACTGTAAGTTGCAGGGAAGGTGATAATCTGTACTGGTAGAGGGAGTTTCCTCACTGGAAGTTCTCTGTGCCAAAGAAATCACAGTTCTGACCCTCTGCTCCTAAAGGGTTATATCACTACTTTTTTATTTATTACCATACTACCACGTTATTATGGTCATATTAATAAAAATATGAAGCAGAGAGGTGATGCAGTAAATAGAATGCTGAGCCTTGAGTCAGGATGATTTATCTTCCAGAATTCAAGTCCAGCCTCAGACACTTACTAACTATGTGACCCTGGGCAAGTCACTTAACCCTGTTTGCCTCAGTTCCTTATCTGTAAAATGAGCTGGAAAAGGAAATGGCAAATCACTCTAACATCTTTGTCAAGAAAATTTCAAATGGGGTCACAGTCAGTCATGACTGAAATGACTGAACAACAAGAAATTAATAAAATCTATATTCTTCATTTTAATCTTGCATCCATTTAAATTTGTAGATATTTTGCATTAACTGTTCTCTAGTCAGCTATACTTGTGCAGTTGATTTGGTGGTGGTGGGGAGCATCTGTCATTAAATTATTCTAGACACTACGGTCTTGCTTCATGGCATTAATGCAGTCTGCCCTCAGTGTACCACTAAAGCAATAGGAGAAAAAAAGTAAAGCCAAGAACTTTTAATAAGAAAGTTCTTTAAAAAGCCCTGACATTTCCTTGAGAGATTATGCACAGAAAGAACCACCAACTGTGTTTATTGAAATATCCATTTGGAGATTCCAATTACATACTAAATACACTGAGGGAATTTTGGGAAATATTTTAACTTAATGATCAGACATTCAAATATATGCAACAAATGTGTAATTTGAAGGTCTGATTGCAATAATCAGTTCTTGGAATAAATGTAGGTGCATTTAATGAAATGTGCAGTTTTGCTGTTGTACACACACTTACATAGTGCATGTTAAGTTGGTGCTTCCTGTAGACCTCAGTAGCATATAGATGTCTATGTTCTCATTGAGGTGGTCTATGTTCTCATTGAGGTGGTCTATGTTCTCATTGAGGTGGACTGGGGTGGACTGTTATAAGTACTCTCTCCACTTGTGCAGTTGCAATCCCTTTGCCTTATCACACTACACAATTCTTGTCCATGATTTTTTAAAAATTCACACAAGTTCTACTACAATGGCTTATCATGGTGTGGAGGTGACCATGGATTTTCCACGTCTATGCTAGAAGAATGTAAGCTCTGGTAGATCCAACTAAGCTAGAAATGCTTCCAATAGACCAAGTCTACTGTCTGAGCACCAGCTTAACTAAGTACAGAGAAGCCAATGGCTAGCTCTTTGGTCAAGGGTATCCAAGACCCAGATGACTGCTTTAAAGCACTGCTGAAATGTCCAGGTGCTCAAAGTTGACCTCTGTAGGGCAACCAAAGATGAAAATCAAGTCACTCCATTTCCCCTACAATCAAAACTGAGAGTGTGGGGATAGTATGTATCAACCATTGGCTTCCCTGATGCTCTTATTTGTTGTTTGAGAGCTATGTGTCTTCATGCATCATTAGAGATGATGATGTTTACCAAACATGAAATGAAAGGTCACACTGTTTTCAATCAATCCAGTTGATGGACTGGTTAAAATCCTCAAATACATGCTTTTATTTAACTTCTTTACAGGAAAATCACCTCTACATTTGTAGGCTGATTGATGGGAACCTAATCTCATCCAGGAAGACTAGGGTATTTGGAATCACATTATCACTAATCTGGATTCTTTTCCATCCTTCAGGTGAAGGAGTATACCAAAATGATGCAGTTATTTGAACAGAGGCTCCTAAACCTAAGCATCAAAATTCAGGTCATGGAAGAGACCAGCATTTCTTACAACAAACTGGACTTTGAGTTGCTTAAATTAGAAGTGAGTGAGATGCAAAAACTGGTCATAGAATTGAAATCCAGTTTTGTGGGAAGCAGTGTCATCATTGACCAACTGGAGCTGGAGGTAAGTGGTTTACTATCCTCTTTTGAATTATTTACTAGAAAAAAATGAAATATGATTTTTTTTCTTATGCCACAGCTACATATTTGCACAATTGGTATTTATTTCCATTGCTATCTTGCAAAGGAAACTGATCAAATACATTATCTAGAATTACATATTGAGTCCTCTTTGAAAACCATGATTAGGTAAAGAAATAGGATTGTTATACCCAGTGGTTAGGGTCCTGCTGTGGTGAGTGCTATGTGACTCAGGACTCTTTATTTCACCCAGTGGTGACCAGGTAATTGTGCTGTTTAGAACATGGTGCTAATGAGATCAAGTTTGGCATACACAATCTCTATGTAGCACTTGGTCTACTCTTTGTCATGGGCCTTCCTGAAAACTATACTAAATTTGAGGCACTCCCCATAAATTTTACTTTTACTTGTTAACAAAATTCAAGTTTTCACATTCATGAAAAACACATTTGTTCAAATAGGATAGCAAATAAAATAATAACAACAGAATCCTCAATGCATGTATATATTACGTATACTCTATTTTTTTATTTTTATTTTTTTAAAAAATTATTTATTTTTTTTTTTGGTGAGGCAATTGGGGTTAAGTGACTTGCCCAGAGTCACACAGCTAGTGAGGGTTATGTGTCTGAGGCTGGATTTGAACTCAGGTCCTCCTGACTCCAGGGCCAGCACTCTGTCCATTGCACCACCTAGCTACCCCTATGTTACATACACTCTCACACAGATCATCATACTACCAGTAGATAAGGGCACATATGCAGAGAATATTCATGAAAGGTCACTACCAGGAACTCACAGGGTACATTTGTGAAGGACACACATGTCAAAAAGGACATGAACACAGAAAGGACCTGAATGGTCAAGGTACATTCATGAAGAGTACATAAGTTAGAGTGTGTAGGGTCAGGGTGACTGGGGCAATACACCTCCAACCCTGCAAGAGTATTAATGTTTTCAGGTGATGTCGTTGTACTGCTCTCTTCTATGTATTATTATATCTCTGTTCTCTGTTGGGTAAAATGTGATATATGTTGGGGATCACATCCCTTTTCACCATTGCATTTCTCTTCTCCATGTTATTGTATCTGCTGGACATCTTTGCTAGTCTTGTGGTCACCAAGATATTCTCTGCCATGCTAAGCTTTAGCTCTTTAAGGCTGTCTGCTCACATCTATTGAAGTGCAATGGATAGAAAGCTTCCCCTTCATAGTGGTAGGCTGGAGAACTTTTAGGACATGGCCAAGACAATAGGCCACTATACCGAGCTGAGAAGTTTTAAAAATCCAGCAGAATTCCCTAGGCTAAGAGAAAATCTATTCTTCTGACTCTTTTGTCTGGAGCTGACACCAGATAACTGACTTGGGGTTGGAAAAGTACAGATAACTCTTGTTAAACTCATAATTGTGAGCCTGAATCACCCTCACGCCCCACTGGACTGTGGAGAGACTAAGGCTCTGAGTCTCATTTCTCTCTCCAAATCCTCTTTGGCTGGCATATAAACAAAGTGATGGGCTAGAGCAAAAGCTGGTCAAGCAGGGAAGACCATCTCTTTCTACCACTTTATTCCATCTTCTTGCCTTTATTTGGTAATTTTGCAATAAGGAACCCCCCCCCCCAATTTTTGAACTGCATTCTACATAGCCCACAACCTCACTATTTCTCCCTGAACTATAGGATTTAGAACTGGAAAAGACCCTAAAGGTCATCTGTGTCGACTCTTTCATTTTATAGATGAGGAAACAGATTTAAAGAAGTGAACCAATTTGCTTTTGATCACACAGGGAGTTAGTGGCTGGGCTGGAATTTAAAACCAAGTCATCTGGTTCTAAATAGATTGTTCTTTTTACTATCCCATGTACTTTTGATCTATTTCATCGTCAGGGACTACGACGTCAACTGAAGTTGGGAGTTTACCATCTTGCATATATATGTGATTATCTATAAAGCAAACCTGATCTCTCACTTCCACTGGAAAAATAATTTAAAGTGCATATTCTATGGACAGTGGCTTCATTATATCATCTTTTTATATTGTGGGAGAGCACATTCTTTCATGTACACACTTGCAAGGTGTGTCAGAAAGATTATTGCATGGATAACTAGCTATTCACTTAACCTGTTTATACCATTTGGGCCTAAAAAATACTGTCCTGGCCTTTTCCTACCCCTGTCCCCACAGGTAGAAATCCTATCTATTTTTCAAGCTCCAGATCAAATACCATCTCCTCTATGAATGCTTATAGATATTCAATCTGGAAATTAACTGTTATTCTTATATGCTTCTGTGGGACTTCAGAATAAATTTTTGGAGACAGGCAATGATGTCTTAATTCATATCTTAATTGATTTTTGTCTCTCCCATAGTGCTAGTAGCATCTCTACCAAAATTTGTCCAATAAATGAATTGATCAATGAACTCCCACCTGGTACAGATAGTTCTTTTAACACGTTTTTGAATAGCATGTCCATTTCCTCACTTCATTTGCATCTTATTCTTGCTTTGTTGCCAAATTCTATCTCCTGTTCTTACTCAACTCTGCTTGACTACATCTCATACTTTTGCCAATGTTGTCACCCTGAGCTATGGCCCAGCTTAGGTCCCAAGTGCTTCCTGGCTATACTATTTCCTATCCATAGTTCATTGGTTAGTCCATATGATTCCCTAAGTTCTCACACAATTAAAAAAAAAGAATCCTACTCCTATTAATTAGAAACATGACAGAGGTTACATGACTCTGGAAGTTTTTTGTCTATTTGAATTGAATATGAGGTTGATCACATGAATCAAACATTGATTGGTGGGGAAATGGGAAGATGATTGGACTTAAGAATGACCTTCAACGTTTCTGAGTTCCAGTTTTCTCATCTCCAAAATGGGGCTAATAGGACCTGCCTTAAAAAACACACAGTTTGTTTTGGGGACCGAATGAGAGAACATTTGTAAAGATACCTTAAAGATTACAAAACACTAAGTATTAGCAATTTGTTTTATTATTGATAATATCATTGTTGTTGTTATTATGATAGTTACAATAGGGTTTCAGAATGAAATTGGTTTTCCATCTTCATTAGAGTGGGCTTGACCAAATATATTTAGACCATTCAATGTCGTGCCAAATTGAACACCTGAGACATTCTCTAGTCTGGACTCAAATATTTAACTTGTCTTAGAAACACTTTTGTTTGTTGGATGGTATTTGCTAGAGAGGTAAAATGCAGAATAGCTAAATCTGGGTCTTTTTTTTTAATGTGGCTTTGGCCCTTGGTTTCTTTTATAACTTTTCACTCCACCATTTTAAATAATACCTGGTGAGTTCATTGGTGAAGCCACTTCTGGTCTTTGAATACAGACTGTCTTACTGTATTATAGTCTAATAATGGATATTAACCAACACATTAATAAAAGCATCACCAATGGAAACATTCACAATTCTTAACATACATTTTTGAACATGAAGTGTTCAGAGGGCCTTAACATTCATTAGAAACATAATTATAAGACAGAATGAATAAGCACGAGTTTATAGGGGAATGTTATTAGAAATGAACTTTAATGGACGTGTGTAGATGTTCTGAAAGAGGCTGCAGTCTATTATTAAAGCTGTTAAAATCTTTGCCATTTTCTTCTTGTCACACACATCTGCCTGAAATCTGACAGGCATTCACGCTAACCCATAAAATGTATTCTTCCAAATGAAACCATTCACAAGCCCTCTGGTGTATTCTCTGGCGATGTTTCACTAAATGACAAATTCATCCCCAGAATGTTTATGAAAGAAATTGCACAATAATATAAAGTCACTCTGAATTTTTATTTCCTCAGATCAGGAATATGACTCTCCTGGTACAGGAGTTGGAGTCACTAGACAAAAACAATATCCTTGCAATCCGTCGGGAGATTGTGTCCCTGAAGAATAGACTAAAGGAGTGTGAAGAGTTTAGAGGTCAAAACAATACAGATCCCATTATCCCACCTGGTAAGCATTCTTTGATTTACCACTTGGTCAGGGTCAAAGAGGTGAGAAAATGGGGGAGAATGTGGAGGTTTTTTGACACTTAAGCAGGAAGACAAAAAAATATATAATTATAGCTCTGCCAAAGTAGTCAAACACCTTGGTGGATTGCATTCTTGATATAGGAAAGCGGAATAACTGGATTGCTGAAGACAAAGAGGGATAGGATTTCACCTTCTTGCAGTGTTCTCTACAGGGGTTTATTCTCCTTATTTTAAATCTCCTTTCCACATAGTTCTACATAATACACACCTGGGGGCTCTTCTGTGAAAGGTGCCAATGCATTGGGTTGGTTTTATTTTCTTCAGTTTGATACAACACACATTTATTAAGCTCCTTTTGCAGTGTGAAAGGCACTGTGCAGTTTGCTGGGGTTAGAAAGACAACAGCACAATAGTTTCTGTCTTCAGAGAGCTTACATTCTGTTGAGTGGGGGAGATTCAAAGCAGCTGGAGACAAAGAAATAAAGATTATTGGGAGACAGTACTAACAATTAGGAATGCCTCAAGAAGGAGGTGGCAACTTAGTCCTTCAAGAAGGATTGAGCCTTGAAGGAAGATAAGGAATCTTAGAAATGGAGATGAGGAGGGAGTACATTCTGGGCACTGAAGATGGCTTGGATGAATTTTTTTAATTAATTAATTAATTTGTTATCAGTTTTCCACATTCACTTTTATAAGATTTCGAGTTCTAAATTTTACCCCCTCCCTCCCTTCCTCCCCCCGCAGACGGCATGCAATCTGATACAGGTTATACATGTACAATCATATTAAACATATTTCCATATTAGTCACATTGTGAAAGAAGAATCAGAACAAAAGGGAAAACTATTAGAAATAAAAAAAACCAAAAAACAACAACAAAAAAAGATAAAACAGTGTGCTTCGATTTACATTCAGGCTCCAAAGTTCTTTCTCTGGAAGTGGATAGCATTTTCCATCGGATGAATTCTTGGAGATAGGAGATGAGATACTGAGTTTGAGAAACACATAACAATCCAGCCTGACTGGAACATAGAGTGTGTGAATGTGGAATAATGTGGAATTAAGCTGGAAAGGTAGGGTGAAGTCAGATTTTGGAGGGTCTTAACTGCCAGGGCAAGGAGTTTTGCATTGTTCTGATATAGCAAAAGGGACCTCATAGGCCACTCACTCCAAATCATCCATAAAAATATCTCTCTCTCCATAAGTGATCATTCATCCTTTGTTTAAAAACCTCAAGGCAGGAAGATCTCTACGTCCCAAGGTTGCCTATTCCACTTTTGGATGCCTCCAATTTAAAAAGAATGTTTCCCCCTTACACTAAATGCCTATTTGCAAGTTCTCAGCTTCCACCCATTGCCTTCTGGGGCCAAGCAAAATAAGACAATATGGAAACACCGAAGGATTTTGAGCAGAGGGATGCCATGTTCAAATCTGTGCTTCAGGGAGATTTTTTTTTTTGGCAGCTGAATGGAGGTTGGATTGGAAAGGGGAGGGTTTGGAAGCAGAGAGATCAATTTGGAAGCATATATCCCAGCTTATGTTTGGCTCTTGCATTTGATAAAAATGAATCCATATTGACATTGTTGTTGGGAGAGGGAGAGACTAATAGACAAGGACTATTAGAAAAAGATCATTGTGGAAGTAACAAATGTAGGCATAAAATGTTGCCTACTTCTAAGCATCCTATATTAAGGAAGATGTCATAAACTGTAGGTCTTGAGGATTAAATTAGCTTCTTAGGGCATTAGTGAATTTTCAGAGCTGAGCCAAGGCACCTTTAGTCTTGTTCCAGGACTTCTTTCTTCATCATACTATAAACTGATGACCTCTAAGTTCTAGTTCATGACTCTGAGACTCATAACTTTCTTGGTATCTAAGCCTCACTGACCCCTTGGATTCGGAGATGTGCTATACCCGGTCATTGATACCCTTATACCCTTTTTTCTATCATTGCCATCAAAACTTGGTATCCAATTTTTTCCACCCCCTTTTCCTACCCTCTCTCTGATTTTACTATCACCACATACCAGATTATAAGAATGCATTTAATAGAGTTTCTTCAAAGAGTAAAAGAATTGTGTCCATAAATATCATAAGTAGAATTAAATGACAGATAATTGACAGTGCCTATAAAAGAAGCCAAGAAAGATTGGTCCTAGTCAGAACACATTTGGAGTATTGCTTTTAGTTCCAGGAACCACTGTTTAAAGAATGCCATTGATATTTTGAACATATCCGAAAAAGCATAACCAGAATTGCAAGGGGACTGGAGCCAATGCCCTGTGAGGATCAACTGAAGGAAATGGACATATATAGCCTAGAGAAGAGAAAATCTGGGAGTAGGCGGAAGGGCATGATTATTGCCTTCAAACCTTTGAAGGGCTGTCACCTGGAAGAGAGGTTAAACTCAGTCTGCTTGTCCCCAAAAGGCAGAAATAGGAGTAATGGCCAGAAGTTACAAAGAGACAGATCTTGGCTCTAATGTTAAAAGAAAAAAAATCTTAACAAGTAGAGCTGTAAAAAAATGGAATGGCCTGCCTCCATGGACAGTAAGATCCCCATCACTAGAGGTCTTCAATCAGAGGCTGCATGATCACTTGTCAGAATGTCACTGAGGCAATGACTGTTTAAGTCTAAATTGGACCAGATGGCTTCTAATTTCCCTTTTCACTTGGATTGGGATTCTGTGATGCATGCCTGAGACTATTGGAATAGCCTCCTTACTAGGCTAATTATGTCCTGATGGACATGATATCAGCAGAGCTCAGCTTCCTGGGCCACTGCAATCCCTCAAATCCACCACCAAGGCCTTAGGAAATCACAAATTGTTTTTTGTCCATCTGAATTTCATTTTTTGTTAGATTTTTTAAAAAAATGGCTTTTTTAAATTCAGCTAGTATGAAGTGAACTGAATTGTTCAGTTGGAATATCCTCCCCTTGTGTTTCTACTCATCGAAGCCTATTCATCTTTTAAAGCTCAGCATAAATCCAATCACCCTCATGACCATCCCAGCTGAAATGATCTCTGACCCTTCTGAATTCCTAACTCTTTTTATTTGTACCACTCATAAGACACTTACAATTAAGTGACTTGATTGTTGCTATTTTGGACTGTAGCTATGAATCTTACCTTTTTTTTTTAAGTAAAGAATTCATTCTTGGAGGGCAGAAACTAGTATTTTGGTCTTTGTAAACCTCAGAGAGCACTAGGCAAAGAGTAGGTGTTTAAAAGCAAATTTTCTCAATAGCACATTTATTAAGCACCTATTATATTTAGAGCACTATGATGAAATAAATGTAGATTTAGCTATGAAGACATCCCTGACTTGATGGAGCTTACATGGTAAGGAAACATAGTGTGAATGCACATACAATGCTGTAAATGCCCCAGAGAAATGGCAAAATAAGTGCTAGGCTAGTTTCTAGAAGGAAGATGTTGTTGGCCGCCATGGAAGATGGAGTATTTAAATTGGAAATTCAACCAGGAAAGAGGACCCCCTCAGCACAGGTATGGATTAGCAAACGTATGAAAGCTGACTGGTGTAGGAAAGTCTGAGAAACAGAGTTGTCTATTGACTAGAAGCAAGAAATAGCAAAAACTGACATAGACATCATACTTCAAGCTTGACAATGTATTTTGAACACATTGTTTCATTTGCACCTCTCAATGGAATGATAGGGATAGCAACTGGATTGATATGTGATTGATATAAGGAAGTCCTGGATGAGTAAAATCTCTCTCCCTATACAGGTTTGTAACTTCTCCACAACTGGAGTCTTAGAGAGCTGCCCAGAGAACTGAAAGGTTAAGTGAACTTGCCCAAAATCACAGAGTCAGCAAATGTTGGAGGTGGGACTCTGCGGCTTGACTCTAGCTTCCAAGCCACATTGCTCTCATGAGGATATATTATGCAGGTCATCACCCTCATTTTACAGATAAGGAAACTGAGGCTCAGACCATTTAAGTGGCAGACTCATGGTTCCATGGCTGAATAGTAAAGAGATCTAATATGAATAGGTTTCTCTGAATTCCAGACACAGAGATCTTTCCACTACACCATACATCCTTTGACTCAGTGAAAGAATAAGAGATAAAGCTGACACCGGTTTGTGGACAGTTATTCACCAGTCAAAGGGGTTTGAATTTTGTTTGGTAGGCAGTAGGGAAGCACTGGAAATTTTTGTGTGGAGAAGGGATGGGATCTGGTCTATACCTAAAGAAATATGCCTATAATTGTTGAGCTAGTGAATGAAATGAAATGTGAATCAGACGATGCTACATTCCAATGCACTCAATGCAGCCTCTAGACAAGCTAAATTAATGGTATGAGCTAGCAGCACTGTCACCAGTCCTTTCTAGCTGTATCAATGACAGAGCGAGGTGGTATCTGACAGCAGAGAGGATCATTGCATTGATTTTCTCAGTACTTTCCATTTTTATTGATTTCTATTGCTGATTTTCTTTCAAGCCCTTCCTTTGTGCTACATGTCCAGGTGTCTGCCTTCTATAGAACCTCACCTAAAAAAGTGTCATGGTTACAATCTTTTCAGTTTTGTGCCAAGTAGAAGAATCACTTAGCAGCCCTCCCAACCCCTCTTACAGCTGCTTAGAGGCCATGATGTGATGCAGAATTGGGAGAATTGGGAAAATCTCTTTTCCCTCACTTGTGGAACTAATTGAAGACACATTTTTTTCCCTGGTTAGGGAGATGAAATGCCCTTGTCTTTTAATTCAGGTTAGAGTATGATAGCCTATAGCACTGGACAGGACCTTGATATCATCTAGTCTCACTCTATCATTGTAGAGAAGAGGTAAACCGAGATGCATAAAGATGAAGTGTCTTGCCCACATTTGGCACCCAGAACATATGATGTGTAATAGATGCTTGTTGATTAATTGATTGATTTTTGAAAAGAGTGGAGCTTGAATTCAGACCCAGATTCTTTGACTCCAAATATATGTATTTGTCTACCAGTAGT